CTGAAGGTTTTCATAAGGAAGAGGAAGGCTGCTCTGTGTGCACTGATACGGAAAGACACCAAATATGGGACGTGCTTCAGGGGCAGAACAGGGTGTAGCGTTCAGGGACAGGTGTGTGTGGTGGTTAAGAGCAAGGGCCTAGGGCCAGGTTGCTTGCTTTCAAATCACTGCATGTTCTGGGACTTTGGGCAAGTCATTGTTCCGCATCAGCAAGTGGGAGATACACTAGTCCCAACTCCCAGGTTGTTGAGGAGATTAAATAAATTGAAAACTACAAAGCTTGAGACAGAGCACCCTCTCACTAGGTGGGGCTGGATGACTGGCGTGGATGAATGGGAGTGAAGGGACAAGCGGACCTGAGTGAGAGGCCAGAGCTGTCATCTGGCACTGGCTTTCTTATCTGTCCTGTGGGAACAGGTATCTGTGAGAATCTAGTAGTTCATGGGAGGGAAACTGCTCAGCAAAACACTTTTGGTCTTTATCTGGCGGGGGTCACGTCTAGGACTCTGGGCTCCTGGGCTCCCAGGAAGTCCTTGGGTGCAGGTGGGGAAGGTGGTGTTTGACTCTGAGGGCCATGACTCAGCCTGGCTCTGAAGTGCAGCACTGTTTAGGGGGTGTTGATGGGCAGAGAGAGGGTCGAGGGGCTGCCGGGGAGCCTCTGCTTGTAAGGGACCTGGGACCTCAGGACAAGGCCAGCCGCTCAAGACTAAGACCTTACAGTCATGCTAGACAGCCGCAGACATTAGTCCACCCCACAGGGCCGGAGATGGTAGGGAGGATCATCTCCGTCCTGCCTCCAGCCCTGGGGGCCCTGGCAGGGCCCCTTCCTCTCTCTGACATGAGTTACCCTGTGTGAAAAGAACCTCCCCACGTCCCAGGCATGCTGGGGGAATAAGACAATGGAAATGAAGTTACTCTGGAAGATGATTAAATCCCTTAAAAATAGTGCTCATTTGAATTTCTTCCTCTATTTTAGTCAACCACACTGAGCACGTTCTATGAGTCAAATATTTTATATATGCATATCTCATTTAACCCACTGTATTAGTCATATTAAGCCAAGTGCTCTAACAAAGCTCCTGATTCCAGGCACTTCTGGCAGTAAGGTCTATTACTCACTCACTCACTCACATCTGAGTCCAGTACAACCGGCTCGCTTGGTGTGTGCTGTTGTTCAGGGACCATGTTCCTCTGCTTCATGACTTTGTCCTCTTCTTGGGCTTCCTTGAGGTCACTGCATCCTCTGTGGGATGCCTTGGGGCCAGGAGAAGTGGGGGTCATCATCCCCACCCTCAGTCCACCAGCCAGCACCCAGTTTCAGGGGCCACCCGACTGCGGGGTGCCACGGAGTACAGGTATATCTGTCCTCCAGGGGAAAAGCACATGAGCTCAGGGGATGCTAAACACTGCCTAAAACACTCCCACTTTACTGATGGAGAAACTAAGGCTCAGAGGCAGCAGAGTTTTCCCAGGGCCACACACCAACTAAGTGCCAGAGCTGGGATTTGCCCCCTGCTTATTTTTTTCGTTTCATCTTCTTTTGCTTTTGTCTTACTCTCTGAAGGTACGGTAGTGTTTTCAGAGTTTTCTTTATTTCCTGTGTTGTCTCATTTCCTCAGAAATCCTACTCTATGTGTGTTTTTGTGTGTCCTCACTGAGCAAGGCTCTTTCATTTAGGGCCTCTAAATACCGATGTACATAGGCAGAGTGGCTGAGTTGTTTATGGGTCTCAGTGCAGAATGAAACTTCAAGATCCTTCTTCAAAGCAGAACAAAGGGCCAGGTGAGGTGGCACATACCTGTAATCCCAGCACTTGGGGAGGTTGAGACAGGAGGATTGTGAGTTTGAACTTAGTGATTTAATGACCCTGGCTCAAAATAATTAATTAATTTTTAAAAGTTTTAAAAGGCTGGGGATGTAGTAAGTGTGAAGGTCCTGGGTTCAATACCCAGTACCACAACACACACACACACACACACACACACACACACACACACACGCACACACACGGAGAGAGAGAAAAGAGAACCACATACCATAAAAAACTATTCTTCCCTCTTTTCTGCAGTCTCCTTTCCTTCCTTCCCTCTCCCTCCTCCCCTTCTCTCCCTCTCTGCCCTCCTTCTTTGTCTCTCTTCCCCCGCACCCTTCCCTGGCAAGGTGTTTTTTATTTTCTATTTAGTGTCACACTCCCTTGGCCATGGGGACCTTCCTGTGACAAGTGCAGGGCCTCACGGGCACCTAGAGCCAGGCAGCTGCAGGGCCCTGTCCATCCTCCCCCATCCTCCTGGAGTGGAGGGTGGCAGTGGTCACTGGGTGGCTGACAGGTGGCAGGAGGCGGTAGGAGGCAGGACCACGTGTAACCTGAGGCTGCAGGCTCCTAGCACGTGCTCCACTGTGCACGGCTCTCCATGTGCACAGCACAAATTCAAAGATAAAGATATTGAGAGAACCAAGACAGCAATCACAGTGCACCAGGCCCCTAAGACAAGGTCTCCTTCTCGATACTGCTGATAACATTTCCTTGCAGTCCCCTTTCTGCGGTGTTTTTCTGGGAGCATTTGTGTTCCTGGAAGAGGGGTCTCCATCTTCCTGTCCGTGTCATCCTGGGGCCGGACACGGAGGAGCCCCACCGCTGCTCTGACCCTCGTGTCTCCCTGCTCTCAGCCTTGCTGCACTGAGCTTTCCTGGTGCCCGAGCCCACTCACTTCCTGTTGAGCCCCATCTCCAACACGTGGGGTGCACTGCCACCCCCCACGGCGCTGCTGGCCATTCGTTCATCAGCTCTCCACACTCAGAGCTGTGTGCATCTCCCGCCTGCTTCCACGAAGTCTTCAGCTGCTCTGTTCCTTGGTCACGCTCTGCTGCAGGGTTTGGAGGCAAGGAGAGAACCCCATGCATTGCACCACCGTGTTTAACCAGAAATCGGTTGAGTCTTGGGTAGATTTCTATTTTAGAATGTGAGACTCCTTCACCAAACACTTATTAGGCACCTACTGTGTGCCAGGCACTGTGGAAGGCAAGTTCCTACCTCCCAGAGGCTGGACTGCAAGCTCAAAGGTGAGAGGACCCAGAAATGGACATTTGTGATTGGGGGTCCTGGGGGGAAGTCATGAGTTTGCTCCAGGCCAGGAGTCTCATCTCGGACAAAACTTGGACTTGGGGAATGTACTTCAGAGCAGAAAGAACCAGACTTGTGTAATTTTTCCCTCTCTGCTATATGTTCTCAGTTATCTTCTCTCTCTCTCTCTCTTTTGACGATGGAGTCTCACTATGTAGTCCAAGCTGGCCTTGAACTCGCTTCTGTAGCCCGGGCTGGCCTGGAACTCATGGTGATCCTTCTGTTGCAGCCTCCCCATTGAGCTCTAGGATTACAGGTGTGCGCCACCACACCAGCTCACTTACCTTTCTGGTCACAGAGATTCTCTACTTGCTTTATTATTCTCTCTTCAATCTTGTTTCCATATTATTATTTTTAAAAAACTTACTGCTTCTCATCTTCTTGGCCTGAAATAGCAGATAATCAAGTGTGTTTGCAACATATCTAAAATAAGCATTAATTAAGCTGTGAATTAAGGCTTAAGAGACTCAGCAGTGAGTAAAATGTATTAACTTTAACATCAATTGTATAACTTCTATTTTTACTACCCAGTAGCGTTCTTAACTTCAGCAGCTTATTTTATATTTCAGATGACCACTGTTGCCATGTAAGTGAGGCATACTGTTGTAAAACTTTAAACATTGCCTGCCAGTGGCCTTTTTCTTCCAGCTCTATTCCCTTCTTGCTCCATTAAAAGTGCACTGGCCTTTGGTTTGCCCACAGTGTCAATTTTTATTTACTGTGTTTTCTTTGTTTGTTTTTTGTCTTTTTGAAACAGGGTCTCACTCTACAGTTCAGGCTGGCCTTGAACTCACTGTGACCCTCCGGCCTCAGCCTCCTGAGTGCTGGGATTACAGGTGTGCACCACCATGCCCAGCTTGCCGTGTTTTCTTGATCCAAAAAGACTTGTCTCATCACATTTTAAAATCTCTAACATGAGATGTGTCTTATAATTGAGTGGGATCTTGGCATTAGGTCACAGTATTCTTTCTTCTTATGTGGTACATGATAGTGTGTCTTAGGACCAATGATGTCTCAGATTTAATGGAATAGAGTATTGATAGCATTTGAAAGAACTGATAAATTGTTCTGTTTTCCCAGCTTGCCCTTTACTCCTGGCTGTGCTAGAAAGAGACAACATTATTACACATGTGAAAGCAACTTTTTTCTCCCTAGACTCTTATAATAACAGTAGGAATAACAATATCAGCAACAGTATGCACTTACAAAGCACCTACTATGTGTTGACACTGCTTTAAGCACTTTCCAGAGACCTCTCCAAAAATCCTAGGTTAGTAACACAGCGGTTATCCCCATTTCACAGATGAAGAAACGAAGGGTGAGAGGCAGCAATGGCAAAGCCAGCAGTCTGGGCAGTCCGTCTCTGAAAAGAGTTACACTATGCTGCCTCTAGTGATTCTGGGAGCTGAAGTATCTTCATCTAGATCAGAGGATCTTCTCTGGCTGTACCTTCAAATTAACTAGCGAGCTTTAGGGAAACACGGAAAGACTTCTCCAAGTTGTTTTAATAGACTGCCACAGCACAGAGTCCCTGGCTGAATGATCTGTGTGTGATGCCCGAGCTGTGCCATTTGGGATCTGTGACCTTTTTACCTCTGATGCCGGACCCTCCTGGTGGCTGCTGAGCCTGGGGTGCCAAGGGCAGCAGGAGTCTCTTAAGCTTCTGGAGCTGGATCCCTCAGTTAGAAATAAGCCTCCCAGGGGGCTGGGGATTTAGCTCAGCGGCAAAAGCGCCTGCCTGGCAAGCGCAAGGTCGTGAGTTCAGTTCCCGGTACCGGAGAAAAACAAAACAAAACCAAAAAAAAAAAAGAAATAAGCCTCCCAGACTTTAAACTGATGTATTCACTTTTAATTGTTATTACTCCTTCCTCTCTTCTAGCTCTGGAGTGCACAGAAAATCAAGCAGGTAACCCAGTTTGGGATTATCTTCTCTCCTTCGTGCTTTCCTGGACCCTTTCCCACCCTGTCCCAGGGATCTAGCCCCGCCCCCATACCATTAGGAACCTTCCCCTGTCCTGTTTGCCCCTGGCCACCTCCCCTTCTTTCCACCCCAGCACGCAAAGGCCTGTGCTCCTGCAGCCTGGAGCTCCGGCCAAGCTGGCCTCTCTCTGGGTGCTCTGAGTTACTGCAATGCCAGGTTGTGTTCACCAAATCCTGATTACGTGCCTACTACGTGCCATGCAGGGGGTGAAAAAGCCCTTGATGTAGTTTGGATCCCTGTGGGCTTCTGGTCTCCCCCGTACTCAGCTTTAAGGATTAGACAGAGGAGGATGCTAGCCATGGTCCATGTTTGGTTTTCTCTTGTCCTGAGTGATGGAAAGGACTGAGTGACCAGAAGGCCATATATAGTCACTGGTATGTGAGTCTTCCAGGGAAGATATCCTTTTCCCTCTTTCTTCCCCTAACCCCTCTGCTCCCCCCACCTCCCGCATGCTCTGTTCCTGACTCTTGCAGGCTATTCTACACCCGGACACCAACGAGAAGATCTTCATGCCCTTTAGAATGTCAGGTAAGCTCCTGGGCCCTTCTGGTTCTGTTCAGCCTGGGAAGCTGGCAGTGGCCACTGTTCCAGGGGCATCTACCTGTGCTCGTCTGAGGAGAGGTTAGAGCCCATTACACATGTAGCCACACTGGCACCTTGGCTCAACCATACAAGACCAGCCAGCCTCAGGATCCCCTGTGGCACTCACCTGCTCTTTTCCGCCTGAGCAGTTGGGGTTGAGCTGTGTTTTCTACAGGTGAATCTGGTGTCCTCCACTCTCATCCTTACTCAGTGGTCAGTAGAGGGGCATAAGCCCTGTACCCCTGGGTTTTAGGGCCTGGAAAGCACCTGCACATAGGCTGGCTGGGTCTGGCACGGTTGTCCTGCCCATGGTTCTGAGACCTTCTGGGGCTTGCCCAGAGTCACTCTGCAGAGCGTCTCACTCACCAGTGTGCTGATACCCGCTCCTTGTGATTTCTCGCCATTATAAGCAGTACCAGTCCTGAGTCACAAGGTTGCTGTGGAGGTCTGCCTGATGCTGCCTTGGGAAGGCTCTCAGCTGGAGAAAGGGGCCTCAGTCAGATGAGTCAGTCAGATCCCCACCCGCAGAGAGCCTGACCTTGCTGGGGAGAGAATAAGCAGGCAGGGAATGGAAGATCTTGTGGACCACCCATTGCTCAATGGTCCCCAGCTTTGCCCTGAAGAACTCTGGGAGCAAAAGCTCTGAGCATCTTGGAAACAGCTGTGGATGTTCCCTGGGCCCTGTAGGCTCATACCTGCAGCCTGGCTCCTCTTGTAATTCTGGACCTTTTAAAGTTATATATTCCTCTGAGGCCCAACTAAAGTTGGGATCTCCCAACAGAAGGGAGCAGGTAGGTGAGGGAGGGCTCAGAATGTGATCCTTGCCTTAGATGCAACTCAGGAGAGCATGCTCCTTGCTGCCCGCCCGCCAGCTGACTGGCTGCCCAGGTTAGAAGCTGGGGACGAGGGACTGACTGCTGACAGCAATGGGGCTGGCAGAAGCCTCCCTGGGAGGCCACATGCAGCGAGGAGCCGGGGGTCAATGCCTGGCTGCACAGCTTCCCCGATGCTGCCCAGCCCAGGCCCTAGGGAGTTAAGAACTGGAGCGCAGAGGTGTCCATTGCAGGTAGGCAGGGCTGTTTCCCAAAATGTTGCAATGTTGGGGAAGTAAAGAAAGATAAGCTGAGGGAACCCTCCTGAGAAGACAGCCAGTCTAGTGTGGGGCTTGAGGGCAGGACATGCAGTGCCTCCTGCAGGAAATTGCTGAATACCAACTGGGGGTCCCAGGCAGCAGCCTTGCCTGCAGGAAGGAGGGGAGTGAGATCGCTTGGCCACAGAACTGAGAGCAGGAGGCTAGGGACGCAGGGGAGCTCTGCTGTGGGGAGGGCCGAGCTGAGGAAGGGTCTGAGGGGTGGAGGGTGGCTCCTGCCTAACTGTCCGGAGTCCTTGTGCCAGTGCCAGTGATCAGACCAAGCCTGGCACGCTCCTGATCTCTCAAGTGAGACCTGATTCCTTTCTCTTCTCTTTCCCCACTCACAGGTTATATTCCTTTTGGGACGCCAATTGTAAGTATTTCCTTCAAAAGGATTTCTTGTCTAACAACTTTGAGTGTATGACTTTACATCATTGTTCATAGAGATTTGACTGAGTTTTTTATTTAGCACAAGTTCCCAGAGGGGAGCTATTGGATAAAATTGTATCAGTTTTTCTATCACTTGCTATGGGTTGACTGATTGCCACCTTCTTTTGATAAAGGTGTACGGACCTCCTTCCTCCACAAGTTAGGAAGGACCTTCCTCCCTACATGTTCTTCACCCCCAGAATATTTTTTGTTTTTTTGTTTTTCTTCCAGTACCAGGAATTGAACTCACGACCTTGTGCTTGCCAGGCAGGCGCTTCCCCGCTAAGCTAAATCCCCAGCCCCTCCACCCCTAGAATTAGCAGGGAAAACAGGGAGGTTTTCCAGAGGAACTGAGGGAGTAAGAATATATGGAGCCTGCTGAAAATTAAAGTTCAAAATTAATTCAGAGAAGGTTTTGGTATTCTTTTTGTTCAGTTTTGGAATCAAGGTTATGTGTTCATTATTTTCTTTCCTGTGTTAAGTATTTCACATTATGAATATGGATAAGTCTCAGAAACAGTGTTGAATGAAAAAATAGTAGCAGAGTAGTAATACTGTCTGATGTCATTTAGATAATGTTTAAAAATATGCAAAGCAGGGGCTGGGGATTTAGCTCAGCGGCAAAAGCGCTTGCCTGGCAAGTGCAAGGTCGTGAGTTCGGTTCCCGGTACCGGAGAAAAACAAAAAAAAACAAAAAAAAACAACAACAAAAAAAAAATATGCAAAGCAATGTTATATATAGTTTATGAGTATATTTCCTATATATCTGTAAAAATATTCAGTGGAGCAATAATCATGGTGCTGTTCACCTGTAGGGTTGAGAAGGTGATGCTGTCCAGCGGGGAAGTGGAGGTGCTTTGTGTGATTTGTGCTGTTTCATCTTTCAGAAAAGACAATTTTTCACAAAATTTTGAAAAACAATAAGACTTGACAACACATAGATGCTCATAATATCCTCTAGACTTTTCTGTATGTTTGAAATCTTTCATTATACACATATTTTAAAAATTGTTTCCCCAGATGATATTTTCTAATTAAAAAATTTTTTTAATTGTATATGTATATAGGGGGTACAGTGTGATAATTTGACATCTGCATACAATTCATAATGATCAGATCAGGGTAATTAGCATCTCCTTCTCTTTAAATACTTTGCATTTCTCTGTGTTGAGAACCTTCAAACTCCTTTCTTTTAGTTCTTAATCAAATCTATAATGAATTGCTCTGAACTGCAGTTATTTTACTGTGTTATAGAACAGTAAAAATTTTCCCTTGTACCTAACTGTATACATATAATTTAATTATATGTAAATATATAGAGAGGAGTTATTATTTAAATCACTATCCTTATGTGGTTTCCCTGAAACTATTATACTCTTCTGAAATATTTTGAGAAAAGATTATAAATTCCCCACCATCTCTGTGTGTAATTAATTTCTTTCTGTTTCTTGCATTGTATATATTTCAGGTCAATGGTGTTTGGTGTATTTGTGACAGTTTTATTTTCTTCATGTTATCTTTCTCACACACATGAAATATCTTTGTTATATTGAATATTTTGCCTTGAATTCTGTTCATTTCATGTTAATATTTCTATTCTTGTTTTGTTTAATCTGTTTACCTTCTATATCATTGCTTATACATTTATGCCAGAATCATTTAATTTCTATATCATTTTATATTATAAATCTTTTGGACAAAAACTGTTCAACTTTACTTTTTTACCCAATTTGAGAAACATTATCTTTAATTTTAGTAATGATGGAATTCATTTGTATTTGCTCTGCCACTGATTGTTGTGACCACTTATTCTAGCCATCAAATGAGTTTTTTGCTGGCATGTTTATGGAGCTTTGTTATTATTTCCATTTCTATTCCTGATTTGTGCTAGAGTGGTTGTTTTCATTAGTCCTTTTGATTTCTTAAGCAGTTTGGAAAGGAAGCATCCAGCTCACTGTAATTACATTCAGATGTATTATTTCACAGTGCAGAGAAGTTGCATTTTATTTAATAAATATCAAAAATCAAATAATAAATATGATTTCCCCAGCCTGGCTTACATAGGTAGAGACTTGTAACATACCATTTTACTTTAGTCTTTATTTGTCATTTTAGGTTTGTATACCCACCAAATTTTGAGAAATAACCTGGAGTCTCACCTGATTTATGAAACCCTTATTAATAGCTATATTAAATTTTAAAATTACTTAGGTTTGTGTATTTTGTGTTTGGCTAAAATACATTGTTTTTTTTGTACTGGGAATCGAACTCAGGACCTTGTGCTTGCCAGGCATGCACTGTGCCACTGAGCTATATCCCCAGCCCTAGAATACATTTTTAAATAACATTCAGCATAGGTGGAAAATCCACTTTTTGGACTCTTGGCTCTCCAGAAATGTCTGTTTTTCCCTTTTTTACGTGAACAATAGTAGGCCCGGTTTTCTTTTCTTTTTTTTTTTTTTTTTGTTTTTCTCCGGTACCGGGAACCGAACTCACGACCTTGCGCTTGCCAGGCAGGCGCTTTTGCCGCTGAGCTAAATCCCCAGCCCAGCCACTTCTTTTCTTTTATGAGTAAACTTTTTCCTTTCCCCTGGAATCATTTGATTTATTTTTCTTATCTTTGGAATTTAAAAATATCTCTAGGATTTAAAAAAAAGTTCTCTGTATGTTTTATAAAATTATTCAAGTAATGCATTAGTATGTTCTTTGTGATTCAAAAATACCTTCAAGAAATTTTTATATAGAATATTTTAAAAGTTCTACAAGTAGTACATGAATGTCCTCTTTGCTCAGAATTTAAACAACACAAAAGTAGAAGTCTTTCTGATGACTCTCAGCCTCAAATCTGTGGCCAGACATAACCTGTGTGAGGCTAGAGCTTGGTGCGAGTTTCTTGGCTTTCTAGGCATATGCGTGCACATAGAAGTCTTCATTTAAAAGTGTTTTCTTGGAGCCGGTCACTATGATTTATGTGTCTGGTCCCAAATTACTTGAGGGGCTGAGGTAGGAAGATCAGTTGTGCCCAGGAGTTCAAGACTGGCTTGGGCAACAGAGGGGGATCCAGCCCCCACCCGAAAGAGCAGGTCTGGGGCTGTAGCTTGGTGGTATAGCATGTTTAGTGTACACACAGTCCTAGGTTCTATCTCCACCACCAAAAACTGAAGCTACAACAAGAAAAAGAAAATGTTTTTGTTTCATGGAGCTTTTCATTAAAAATATAGCAATATTTTTATCCACCATTAGCTTATTACACTTAACAGTTACATTCATTTTTCTGCTGAGTACTGTTGTGTCCTTCATTTAAAGTTGCTTCTGAGTGTTTGCTATTAAGAGCAATGGTACTGTAACAAATCCTCCCAAAGTGTGAGGATTTCTCCAGGGCACCTTGCAGCCGGTGAGCCTGCTGCTTGAAGGGCTGTGTGCAGTCCTTCTTCAAACAGAGGTTGGTGAATTTCTGTTCCTAAAGGCAGAGTTTCCTCAGACCTGTGCAATGCTGGTATTGATCTTTTTGAAGTTCTTACCAATCTCACTCGGGAGGGCTGACTTTTTGTTGTGGCTTTAACTTTTACTTCCCTGAACACCAAAAAGATTGTGACTTTTTTCTCAGATATTTATCGGCCATTTCTTCTGTGCTTTGCTTGTTTAAACCCTTTTGTCCATTCTTCCATGGGCTCTATTTTTCTAATTTATTTGCAGAAGATATACATATGTATGATATTAATCTTTTGAATCACATGTATTTTGCAGATCTCTGTATATTGCATGTATATTGCAGATCTCTTCTCCAGCTGTTTTTCCTTTACACTCTGCTATCTTTGTAACAGAAAAGTGTGAAATGTTGATATTTTAAAATACAATGATCTTTCTGCTGATTTTCAGTTTGTTCCCCTCCTTACGTTTGTCCTTTGTTAAAATAACTGAATTTGTGAGAATTGTGTTTACAAATCAACGCTTGGGTGTATTTATCCATTTCTCCGCTTTATCTTCATTTCTGCCTTTGTTTTATAAGATCTTTTTCTCTCCCCCTTTCTCTTCTTTGGCTTGGTTGTGGCTGGTTTTCTTTTTGCCTTAAATGCTTAATTTTATTCTTGTTCTTTCTTCCTAATGAAAGTGCTTAGGGCTGTGATTTTTGGCTGCATCTAATGTGTTTCCACATATACAGTGATTCTGTTTTGTTATTTTCTGAGTAAGTTTGAAATTATAGTGTTCAGTCTTCCTTAGTCCATTAGTCAGAAGAGCATATTTTACATTCTAAGTGGTTGAGTTTTTAAAAAATGTATTCTTTTGTTATTATTTTGCAGGGTATTTTCAGTGATCTCTGTAATTCTGCCATTTGCGATTCATTGAAGCTTTCTTGGTAGCATAGTATGTAATTATATGTTAGGAGTAAGATCGCATACACATAATAAAAAGTCAAAAATAACAGTAGTTTAAACAAAACAGTTTATTTTTCTCTCACATCAAAGAGGTTTAGTGATAGGCAGAATTCCCACAATGTTATTAGGAGTCGTCTTCTATTTTCCTACGTCCTCCTTTCTCACTGCAGGTTTCTAGTGTAAAAGTCACCCCCCAGACCAATATAGCTGCTAGAATTCCAGTCATCACATTTATATTCCAGGGAGGATAAAGACAAGAGGAATAAAAGGATGGGAAATTCCACACAACAGTTAAACTTAGCTGTACATGTGATTCAAAAGATTAATATCATACATTTCATGTTGAACTTAGCTGGTAAATAGCAGAATTTTATAGCAATTTTAATGAGATAGAAGGGGAAAATGGTTAATAGATAAGCAAACAAGATTCTGCTATATAGCCAGATGTGGTGGCTCACACCTGTAATCTGAGCAGTCCTGTAATCCCAGCACTCAGCAGGTTGGATCATTGGGAGTTCAAGACCAGCCTGGGCCACAAAATGAGCTCAAGGCCATTCTGAACTGCATA